CATTAATAGGATTTATTGAGTATAGGGAGGACTAGGGAAAAATAGTTAGTTTTACACATTTTACCCCTCTCTCAATAAAGTAGAATGAATGGTTAATTTACAGAAAAGCTAGTATATAAATTAAGTATTAGTATATCCAACTGTAATAAACAGTTCTCCAGGCTTAAATGTCTGGTTTTGAGGTAAGGAAAAAATTAAAATGAGAGATACAAAGAAAATCCATATTTTGTACTGTATCTCACTCAATTTTTACTCAATTTTCTTCATTCTTGTTAGTATATGAAAGGTATTCTAAAATAATGAATTTAGCAACTTATTCCACACATTTTCGTTGAGTTTTGGCTGAGATATGAGTTTTTTTGTGTTTTGGTACTTGTTGTGACAAAAATCATGTGATTTTCATGTGCAACTATATTTATGAAAACGACTGTAAAAGAAAAGCAAACATGCAGGTCCAAGTATAATAAAAAATCCTATCCGTGCCCTCAGCAGAACACAACATACCTGGCTATGTTTAATGTCCGTATCTTTGCGGAAGGCGTTGCCTCTGACTAGTTTTAGAAGTTAATTTTTAAAATCAAACACATCTATGAGAAGCCATACCTCCTGCCATCAAGAAACTCTTGCATGCCTGGGAGATTCGGAAGATATGAAGGAGAGGGTGTTACAGCTACAAGTACCACAAGACAGAATTGTCGAATAAGTACTATATATCTATTTATATTATTAATTATACTTACGAGGATGATTACCGCTTTTAAAGAAAATAATTGTGGAAGTTGATTCTTCTTGGGAATATGACAAAGACAGGGAGAACCTTACCTAGCCCCAAGAAATTCCTGCGCACCGGGGAAATTTGCTCGGTATGAATAAGTTTGTGGGTCGTAGTAGTTTGGTGTAGCTCCATGCAGTGCAGGAGAGTTACCAGGAGCAGTTGAAGCATAGATGCCTTTCAGATAATAACAGATGAGCTGATTCATTTTTTCAGGGTGTTTTATATCTTACCAGAAGGGATGGGACCACTGGAAACGGGTGCTGGGATAGGATCCATCCCTAGCTGAACTTCTTGAGGCTTAAGAGGTCCTTCAATTATAGGGTGTCCAGGTCGGAATTCTGGTCTATCGTTTGCTTCAATGTCATAAGGATCCTCATTGATCCGGTCGTCTCTCGCTCCACAGAAGACAAACCGCATGGTCCGCATTAGTGAGGACATAATAACAGCACTGAACGAGCGGTCTGTTATCGGAATTCCCTTGTCGTCAAGAATTGGAAAGACTTTTGCTTCCTCAACGATAAGCCAGAGGGTGGAGCATAGCACAGTCATAACGCTGAATGCTATAAGTACTATGACGGAAATTTGCGTCGCGCGCGTCTGAAGCATTAGGCAAGTCGAAGAAGTTTAGATATGGCGGAAGTAGAAAGAATGTAGACATGTTACCTGACTAGCTGAAAACACGAAGAAGCACGTTGCACCGGCATAACAAACTCCTGCAAGCATGAGCGAGGTCCTTGGCCATTTCTCTAACCAAGCACTTGCCCATTCCGGAAGTATAGACTCCGGATTTCTCCTAGAGTAGATAATTTAGCGTTAGATCGAGTGAACGAGTGCTCGTTGGACCGAACTTACACAACTGATTTGTGCCATGCAATTGTTCCAAGGCTGCTCACAGCAGATGTAATGCTAAAAACCAAAGATGCCAGATAGAGAAGATTAGTTGCCGTGTCAATGGGGCGATCGTTTGTCTGATACGTCATTTGTAGCATCGTTGCTGTCACCCCAGAGAAAAAGGTAGCGATAGTCGTCATTGTCAAGAAGCGACTCTCATGCTCGCGTTGGGATGTAACTATTTATATCTAGACCTTTGGAATGGGAAACCGTTTGGCATCTCGAAAACTATAATCAATAGACTTTCCTCACCTTCCCGCAGAAATTTTGCTAGTAGCCTTTCAATTGTACGAATGCGGATTGTGTAGTGTTGGAGAACTAAATGGAAGCGAATTTGGAGGTTTCGCAACGGCGCTGACTTTGACGTCTTCCAAGTAGCTACACGACAGTCAAAGCACTGTTCTAGCATGTCACAGCTACATGTAGACTAACCAATGTACTTTTTAGCACATTCGGCCTCATCCTACGATTCGTGATGAGAAGAGAAGTCTACAGCACTACCGGCCCGCTCACCTCAAGATCTTTTGCAAGAAAAACGAGACTAGTGACAAGTTTGTCATCGCTGAAAAACTTAGAATATGACCGGAAGGCGCTGTTAAGGTCATTGAGACCGTCGGAAAGCAAATGTAACTCCATTGGTAGAGCTTCGAGATAAACCTGCGGTGAATTGTGATTAAAGTCTAGATTAGATGTAAAATCGTCAGTGGATCTAGAATAAAGTACGATAAGATTGGAAGTCCTACTGCGAAATCTTTCTTTCAGAGGCTTTTCCTTCGGAAACAGAGCCAACGCGTTCAGTCCAAATAGTTTGCGCGCTTGTGCAAGATGCGCGTGCGTCGATGACACCGAAGCCAATACGGGTGCACATGAGCCCAGTGGACGAAACATGGACCGACAACGCGCGAGCTTGATGCATTTTAGAAACTAGTACATTACCGATTTCTTAAATCGATTTACCTGTGTCTTCAATTCAAGTGTAGCCCTGTATCTCTAAATTTCAGAACGCATTATTGTGCAAAGAGTTGACAACCCACCAGTAGAAGTCATAGTAATGTAGAACTTGAAATTCTGTCAGATGTGCTGGAAGACGAGCATACATTTCTTACCGGAAAATTCATTGGAGATCTTCTTCGACTCTTGAAACACATTTAAGTTAAATAACAGATAAGCACACATGTAATCAATCCTACAAACCATAAGGGCTCCACATAGTAGGCAGGCGAGGAGCCTCAGCAAATCGTACTTATTTTCAAGTAGGATCGAGAAGATGTCAGTCGGATGACGATCACTATCCTAACTTAAAAAACTCACCGTTCTGCATGGTTGACCGGGGTGGACACTTCTGAATGGACATACAACAGGGAGTCTTTTATATCTATGGGCACGTGTTGATAGAGACAGTATATTAGTATAAGACTATAAGCGCCAGTGCACAGCAGCACAGGAAAATCGATGAGCGAAGCTCCGTCACAAGCGGCGAAGTTGGGCACCCCATTCTTCCTAGGGCCAGGATCGCCCCGAAATACACATCGACGTCCCATCTAGGAACGATGAAGCTACGAGTAGGATTTCTTCTGAAAGCAGATAAAGGTTCCGGAACTTCCGATGTTAGAGGGAATATGGAAGAACGAGAGATCCCGTGACCGTGAAAGACTTCCTTCCCAATACTTTTGTGTACATCATCCTTACTCCTTCAATTCACTCGTCAGACATCTTGTATATCAACATAACATAGAAACACCTCTTTGCCTTATCACAGGTGAGTTGCCATTCAACTGTATTGTGCAAGTTAAAGTACATAGATACCAAAATGCAGGTTGAAAGTAAGGGAGAATAGGAAGCGTGAAAATCAAATCCACAAAGAAGTTGGCCGTGCATAGGACTTTCATGACATCGACTAGGTGTACGACGATAATTCTTCCATAAAATAATAAAAAACTTCTATAGGATGTCATCTGCTGTCCTGAGCGCAAACAATGATGTTGATCTCCGTTCACTCGAAGACTACTCGGATGTCGCGTCATGGATCAACGATGTGTTGGACGAGGAGGGAGACGATGCGGACAGTGTACGCGAACTCTCAGAGTTAGAACGACGTGTTTCGCAGCTTTCTGCTGTACTCGAAGTCGCGTGCGAGGACACGTCGGCTCAACTGGAGAAGACAATCGACGACGTTTCAAGGACCGTGCCTCGACTCACGTACGACTTGCAGCTCATGCAAGAGAGCGCACTATCACTACAAAATGCATTACAAGCAGTCGAACGTCACTCGGCATCATTCTTGAATACCTCTGAAATCGGACCTGTCCTTGAGCAGTTACACTTCCTTGACACAGTCAAGCGTAACATGGACGCGTCGTTAGTGGTTTTACGGGAGGCAGAAGCTTGGTCGAGCCTCGAATCCGAAGTCGTGACGTACCTCTCCGAGCAGGCGTACTCTAAAGCGGCATCTCGACTTTCTGAGGCATCCAAATCGCTCAGTGTTTTCCAAAATACACCCGAATACGAGACTCGCAAAACGCTCATGATCAACCTTCAAAATCAACTCGAGGCGGCGTTAAGCTCAGCTCTCGTTGCTGGAATCAACAGTAATGACGTCGATGCGTGCAAGAGGTACTTCGATATCTTCTGTCACATCGAACGAGAGGCGGAGTTCAGAAGCTATTGGAACGGGAGCAAACGGAAGGGAATTGTTGCTTTGTGGCAGGAGACCGACCTTCGAGATTGTGACGAGGCTTCCGAAAAGACGGAAGGAAAGAAGCTCTCCGCATTTCTTCCTGAGTTTTATCAGGAAATCATTTCGGTGTTGCAGGTGGAGCGTCTCTCCGCCATGCTGATATTCCCTGATCCTCAGCCATCCCTATCAACATTCATAACCAGCATCCTTTCTTCCTTACACCCCTCGACGTCTCAGAGACTCAATGCACTCGTTAACTTCCACGGAGATCTCGTCTTACCGGAACTTATGGCTTCGTTCAAAGCGACAGAGGAATTCGCAGTCTCAACAGACAAAATTATGGAGAAAGTCGGATACTCTTCGCTTTCACCCGCTGTCGTCCCAGCCAGCCTTGACGATCGTGAAAACGTTCCGTCGAATCCACGTACACACACCCGTCGGCGCTCGACGCGCCAATCCTTTTCAAAACGACTCAATCGCTCATCCATATCCGGCCCTTCGACGAGTCATGGAATAGCTTCTGGTTCAGCTTCACTTGACCATACTTGGGAAGAAACGCTTTTCGAGCCATTCCTCGACTATCAATGCGATTACGCTATGCTTGAAAAGCGACTTTTACGCGCACAACTCAAGGACTTACCTGCTCCAACCTCTGCTGTCTCAACAGGCGCTCGACTGTTACGAGAACGAGCAATTGACGTCCTATCCTTCGCAGATGAGGCACTCGCACGCTGCATGGTGTTTACGCACGGATACGGAGTCGTTGGGCTCATTCAAGCGCTTGATGACCTTTTTGAAGCCTTTTTGCAATCCGCACGCCGTGATATTCTAGAATCAGGTGGAACACCTTCGGCGGACCCAAATACCATTGATTCCGGAGAGGAATTTGCCGAATTGGACTATTCTGCTTCGGATTTGGCAGTCTTTCAGCTTACCTTGCACTTACTGGAGGCAGCACGAAGCGTGCTAGAACGTCTGACTGTTTTCGAAGCAAAGCTCCGTGCAAACGTGCAGCAAACATCCAACGCACTTCGTATGGGGAGGAATGATCCCTTCGGGCTCTATGTCTCCGGAACGACTCGGACAGCTCTCACCCTACTCCAGTCCTCTGTACTCAATAGCATAGAATTGCAAAATCTACTTGATGCAGTAGACCCAGAACAGCCTCAACAAGGTCCACATGGCGCATTTACTCCAAGCTCTGCGACTTTCGCGGCCCAAAAGGCACAGACTAGCTCATCACGCGCGACGTTGCTTCTCGGTGCACGGAAAGCTGTGTCCGAATTCGCAAAAGCCTGTCAAATGCGATTACAAGAAACAATACTCACTCCTCTTCTCAAGCATCTCTCAACCTACGCTTCATCCGCAGTCTGGATTTCTGCTGACCCAAAGGATCGTCGAGCAGTAGGAAGCGGCGGAGCAGGTGGTACCGGTACAGGCGCCATAAGCGAAGTGGTTATCCCAACATTCTCTCTATCCCCCACAGCTACCATTCAACGAGTCGCGGAAGGCCTTCTGAGTCTACCGAGACTCTTCGAAGTCTATGCAGATGACGACGCGCTAGCATTCTCCATCGAGACACTCCCCTTCGTCGATTCCTCGAGTCTGCGATCTATGTCTTCCGAAACTGCTACGACATCCACACAAGGACAAGAAACCGACCAACCAGATTCCAACACTCGTCCCAAACCACGTCACTTCTCATCTTCAACTTCCTCTCTTTCCATCCAAGTTCCATCACACTCACAGAGTCCACCTACACTCTTATTAACACCTGAGGCAGTATCCTCTGCCTGGTTATCTTCCCTCGCACTTTCGTTACTCGACCACCTCACAACAAAGATCCTGCCGTCAATCTCAAGACTGAGCACCAAAGGCGCTGCACAACTCGCTGAGGACCTTTCTTATCTTGGACAGATCTGTCGGGCTATAGGTGTGGAGTGGCCTGCGCTCGAGGCGTGGCGTGAGGCTGTTGGACTTGACGTGGAGGAATTAAGACGAAGGAGGAGTTCTGGCGACGAGAGGGAGAAAGAGAAGACCGAAATATCGGAGATCTTTAGAACAGTTACAAAGCTCAGGAGTGTGTGATTGCGCTATCGGGTATTTGGTGAAATTTTTTGTGACAGTCTGTATTTATTCGAGGTCTTCGAAAGTCTGGTGTATTTTCTATGGACTTGAAGAATTGATTAGTAAAAGATTGCGTAACTAGCACTTTGACTTTTTGACCCCGGCCTTGAGGACTTCATGCCAATCCTTGAGTAATTCTGACAGCCTTGAAGCAAAACCTGTCAAATAGAGTTTAAAAATTTATGTTTTATTAAGTGTATTAAAATGTATAAGCAAGCAAATTGCAGGATGCAAAGCAAAGGAGTACAAGACGAATTTGCTCTAATTATCTTCATTTAGGGCAGCAACATCTTGAGTGGGTCCTCAATGTAGTCGCGGATCTTGACTGCAAGACGAAAAAGCAAAGACAGAATCAGCTACCCGAATATTCACTTTGAACTAATATAGAAACTGACCAAGGAAGGTAACGGCTTCGCGACCATCGAGCAGACGATGGTCATAGGTAAGGGCAACAACCATGATCGGTCGAATGACGATTTCGCCATTGACGACAACGGGTTTCTCTTTGATTGCGTGCATACCTAAACCAGACGATCAGTGAGTCTTACGCACTCGGAAAATTCGACAAGTAACGAACCAAGAACGGCTGCTTGAGGCAGGTTGATGATGGGTGTGCCGTAGAGTGAGCCGAACACACCACCATTAGAACTAGTTGATACTTCGGTTAAAACAAGAGTAGACAGAGAATAAGCTGGGTACAACATACATGGTGAATGTTCCGCCAGCCATGTCCTCAATGGTAAGTTTTCCGTCACGTGCTTTCTTGCCAAGAGCGGCGATCTCCTTTTCGACATCAATGAAACCCATCTGTTCTGCATTGCGGACAACAGGAGTGACAAGACCCTTGGGAGTCGCAACAGCCACGCTCAGATCGACGTAGTCACGGTATACAATCTCGTCACCCTCGATCGATGCATTTGCCGTGGGTATCTCCTTTAGCGCAAGGCAAGAAGCCTTTGCAAAGGCACTCATGAAACCCAGCTTCACCTCATGCTCCTTCAATATTGAATCCTTGAAGCGCGAACGCATCGCCATCAAAGCCGACATATCAATCTCGTTGAAAGTAGTCAAGGATGCAGCAGCATTCTGTGACTCCTTCAAACGCTCCGCGATACGTAGTCGCATGCGGGACATTTTCACGCGTGTTTCGTTGCGGGAACCAGGAGCTCTTGCAGAAGCTGCGGCAACAGCCTTCCCTTCATCTTTGCTCTTAGGCTCTTGAGGCTTGGGCGGAGGTGGAGCTGGTTTTGAAGGCTGCTTCTCGCTTTCTTTCGGTGCAGGAGGTGGCGGAGCTTCCTTCTTGGGTGGCTGCTCCTTAGGTTCCTCTTTCGGAGGCTGCTCTTTAGGTTCTTCTCGAGGCTTTGGCTCTTCTGCGGGTTTCTCGGATGCTAGTAAAATTTAATGTAGCCATTCCGATTCCTTGCGAATGATATACTTACGTTCACCCGCCGCACCAGGTTCGTATTTGAAAAGGTCTTGTCCGACAGAAACATTGTCTTCTTCCTGCACGAGAAGTTCTGTAATCTTGCCAGCTTTTGGCGCATTTACGGAGACGTCAATCTAAGAAACCAACGACAGGCAAGTCAGAATATTGTAGCTCAAAATTCTCGCGCATCGCAACATAATCGTAATTTCTCTCATGTTGCAGCGCGAATAAAATGTTCGTACCGATGGCATAAATAACTCACCTTGTCAGTTTCAATGCTGGCAACTTCTTCATCCGCTTCCACGGACTCGCCGACTTTTTTCTTCCATGTTTTTAAAGTGCCTTCCGAGATGGACTCGGCCATTACAGGCACCTTGACGACCTCGTCTGTAATTCGTTATGGACTACGCGTCTACAAGAAATGTTACTTCTACGCGAACCTTGTAGGAGATGCGTTGAGTGGAACTGCGAACGCAGAACATAAGACCCCGTAGTCCGCCTAGAAAAATAGGACATTTAAACACAATGTCAGCTCGATGTATCTTCAGTGCGAATTGGCTAATTCCGACGTACCATGTGCTTGACAGGACAGCTGCCTGAGCTGCCTGGGTCTTGAAGAGCCCGCGGCCACGCGCTGCAGCCACTACACGTTTTGAAAGCATCGTCGACGACGCGTCAAAGCTCTAGAAGAGCAAAGAAGATGGTGGAATGAATTGAGAGAGTTATGACGAACGTCCCTTGCCACGGCTACCTCATCATGATCGTGAGAATCGGTTACTTTTCCTGTCTTCGGCCGTCTTCCTTCCGTCCAATCCGTGCTCAGCCTTCTCTCATCCTTTTTCCTCATTATGACATTCATGCATCCACGGGCAAGTCGTAAACAAATCTGTATCGCTATGCACTGTTTCCACACTACTTTCGATTGTCCAGCATCAAAAGAGTTGCCGTCTTCAAAGTATTTGTACACACCATAGTAGGAACGACTAAGCAGCCGTGAAACAATGGAGGTGCAGTACAAACTTCACTGAATTGTCAGTAAGGTCAGTTGCCAGCTTGCATGAAAAGTAATCCGACGACAAGCATGGGCTATAAAAGTGAATACTCCTAATTGTCGGCCGCCTGATAATCTCCAGGCTTTACTCATCCCTATAGCTTCGCCTTGACAGAATCAGCTAATTACCATGTCCGCGAGGACTCAAACTTCGATCGGGTCTCATTAGCTCTCAGCGTGGCACGGACAATTCCAGCCGCTGCCTTTGCTGGGTATTCACACATACCCCGCCTTGGTGAAATTACTTTCCTGGAAATGATATTCCACAAGTGACTTGCCAAACTCGGCAACAGACCAAATTCATCGACTTCCATTTTGATTCGGCGATTACAGGGACCGTCAATTAGTCCTTCTTCAACAAATGGCTACTTCTCCATTTCATGGAATCAGACCCGCCTCGAACAAATATCGCAATGCAGACAGCACGCCAGACGAGGAAGGGCCTCGAAGAGGCATGACATTGACATTGACTCGCGTTAAAACGCAGCACTTCCGTCGAGGTCCTTCAGCAATTCCAAGCTCACCATCGCATCAATGCCTCCCTTATTAACAGAATCAAGCTACACTACGACTATCTCACTTGTGCCTAGCATCACATTTCTTCACATTGGATGTCTCGTCAATGCTCTGTGAGATACTGAACGACTATGTTCGCTGCCTGGCGTACTAATAAGTTGGCTTTCTAATAGCCTCTTCGGGATAAACTCTGCGAGAGCTTTTCGATGCTTTTTTTATGCAGATACAGACTCAAAAAGCAGAGTAAAAATTGCATTCGTCAGTACTGTTGAGATCTCGGGGTAACTTGTGTCTTGATTTTTTTTTCTTTGGTTCAAGGTCTATTCAGGATGGTGCGCTTTATGTATCATTAGGTTAATCGTCACATAGATCTTACTCTATACGCAGGGTTATGAGCACCCTTCACATGGTATCATCCTTCGCAATGATGGTTCAATATACGTCATTCGAGATAATGCGGCCCGACGAGTTGTCATCTTGTCATTGGTGAGCAAGGCCTTCCTTTGAGCGCGTCTCATTTGCTTATTCTGCATCAAATCTGTATAGGAGCCTTGCAGTATGTATATCTATCGAGTTTTATACACATTCTTGCCTAACCTTTCTACTTCAGCTACAAATTATGCTCACAGTGTGTGCCGAAGCTTTTCACTAAAAAGGAGGAACACTGACGAAGTAATATTAAGACATTCGGAAACGGAATTTCAAGAAGGTAAATCACCAATGTACACTTCCGTAAAATTAATATGTATAATGGTTTTCCTACAGTTATTCCGTTTTCAGGCTTTATAACTGTACGTTCCCTGACAATGCGTTTCGTCTGAATACAGTTGGGCTGATCATTTTGCACACACCACTAGTTAGCAACAAAATAGGATCGAACGTGAAGTACGAAAGAACGCGATACGGAATGATTATTGTCGCAGTAAGGAATATCACGTATCTTACTACCTCGTTCTAAAATCGTGTTTTGCATTTAGGTCTTCCTTTGTTTATTAAGCCTAGGTGGGTTTTATCCGACGTGTAATATCTTCACCGGTACTCATCTTCACCTTCATGTAATCCTGTCTGAAGGTAGCGGTTTAGGTCAGTTCATTTCTCATAAGCTGTAATTCCTTCAAGTCGTCTGACTCAAGCATGCACCAGCGCTTAGCATAATCTTGTACGTGGAGTGCACATTTCTTGCTACGTGTTGTCAAACCTACAAAAACATTTCAGATTTATCCATAGCCAGTTTGCATACTTGGTAGAGCGACCGGTGAGTGTATCCGGCACTCCAAACGTTCGGGGACAGTGCAATACTAATCCAGTCAACAGTACATTGTCTATTTACTGCTATTCTCGACTTGCATCTCCGATGTCTTCGTATGTTCGTGCCTTTTGAGATTTTTCTGGAAAATGCACCAAGAAAATATCATAGGTCAACGGTGCGTTTCTCTTTCGTAGAATTCATAGGAAAACCACACCCTAACCTTTGTAATCTATTAAAGGGCATTAGTTTCCGGTGTCCGTACTAATACCTCACTCAAGAAATTGGCTGCGTACCACGCAGGAGATTGTCTTATCGCCTCCTGTGTCAACTTAGCATGCATGGTGACGGTTAGTTTCTCAGCCCGGCAAAATATCAGGATCTTAACTGATCAAGACTTACCCTAGTTCTCAATACTATCAGACAAACCCATCTACTTGTCCATTTATTGCATAACATCGCAACGTACGTCATCATCTGTAAGATTTCTGATTCATTTTTTCCTGAATTGAAGTCTAGTATATTTCTGCTCTACACTCGTGACCGAGAAGATTTGCCGTAATGTAAATACGGTATCGGGCCGACCTAGGACCATATCACTGACCGACTCAGTACCACACACAAGCACAGCACGCTCTGGACTAAAAATTCCTCGCCACAAACGAAATAGTGTAAGTAAACCAACTGCTTCCTTGCTCTCACTTCCAGAGCATTCAACTCTGATGATTGCAGTCGAAAAACGTGGGGCTAATGAAGGTAATGGTGAAAACTGATGTTGAATGCACGTCCGACTCCGTCGAGCCAAAACAATCCCTGTCAACCGACAGTTCGCTTTCGAGTACTTCTACAGAAGTGGCAACTGGTTGTGATAAAGATCTAGAGTTGATGAGCGAAAGAAGGACAGCGTAACTCAACAATAATATTAGGTATTAGTCTTAGTGAACCATTTCTGTATTTCTCCCTTTGCATTTCAATTGCTAGTTTATATGATATGTTAGGTCTACTTTGAACAGAGACAGAAGGATGATCCAACACATGTTTATGACCTCGAAATGCTTGTTTTAATCTGCCGAGCAAAAGCCACCACCTTTTAATTATAAGACAAGCATCAACAACAACACGTCCAACTTTGTACTTCAACAACCAGATTAGGCACACGAAGATGAAAAAAGAGAATGGACGATACGCGATTCGAACACGTGACCTTGCGCATGCGAAGCGCACGCTCTACCAACTGAGCTAAACGCCCTCATGTTGAGAGGCACTCAATAAGTTATCTAATAATTTAGTTGTTGACAACATCGCATAAAAGCCAGTCTGATGTTAGATAAATTTAAACATCCCAATACTTTCGCGTTGTCTTGAGAACATAAATGTTATAAAATTCGGCTCGATATTCGGCTTCCAACATGTCATGCTCCTGGCAGCCAATAAGGAAGAGATGGGAGGGACGCTTCTTCTGACTGTCAGTGTATTACATTGCAAGTGAATTCGACGGCCAGGCGGTACTTCAGCTGAAGAACTTGTCTTTAGTAAATCATATCAGTAACCTCTGCTGTCTTGATGTATCACGAACGCCAATCTCTCATAATGATGTACGTCTACAGCAAGCCCTGTTACAAGGCGGATAACAGAAGGCCCTCAAATATGATGAAGACCTGCAACGCCTCAGAGAGCGTTGATAGACCAATGCTGACGAGTCCTTTGGCAAAGTGTGGACTTTCCCTTCCAAGTCAACGCGGCACAGCATATCTGGCCAAGGTCATCCACATTGCTGCCCCCAAAGCCGGTATAAAGTGTCGGTGGTCCTTTGTATAGCTGTCCGGCATGATAAACCGATTGCTCCCAGAGTTGCTTTCATTCCCCAAGCTCAACTCGCCTGGAATGAAATCGGACATGTCTGCACCCCGAAAGACTGAGACGGCGCTTCTTCGCAATTAGCGAGGTTCGGCGGGAAGAAACGATAAGTTCGGTGGCGGCCATCCCGGAAAGTCCACCACGCGTGCGCAATGGGTGCCAATGATACCAAACCCAAGTATCTTGTTGTGCTTCGTGACAAGACCAATATGTGCTCCGACCGTCTATTGAGCAGAGCGCTTATCGCGTTAAACGTCTGGTATCGATATTGCGTGGTGCGAGTGAATACAATTATCGCAAAACGGGGCGGCCCCATCGCTTGGCTCCATATATGCATTCGACATGCCATGTAATAAGTCGGGACTCGGAATCGGCACACGCACGTTCATGTTTCGTGTTTGACGGCTCTGCGAGGGCACTCTATTACAGTACCGTCTGTCGTGGACCATTTCAATTCCATACCATACTCTCTAATTTTGACATTCACAGGACAACATAGTAGATAAACGCACGAGCAGTCCGTTATAGAGTTGTGTAAGCATAGGCATTTGCATGCCAGTGTCGTGAGCAGTAGCAGGCGAAGACGGTATGATAAAAACTGTTTCGCTGATATTTTGTTCAGTGTATCTTTTTTCTGTAGCAGAGCAGTTATGAAGACAAGGGAATACATGTACTGAAAAGGACAAGTATTGAATGATAGCTCATTGTGGGAGCGCCTAATTGGCAAATGTTCAACGATAACGGCGGAGGTTGTGTGAGCGCGGAGAGTAACATGATTCATGCTCATTTGTATCGTCGTACCTTTACAGGTAATCCCTGGGGCCTTGAATTTAATGAGATGGAGAATTTCCATGAACGAAGCGCCGTTATCGAACAAGTACGAATCAGAGTGACAACGAAAAGGCCGGAATTTGATTTAGATTGCCTTTGACATCCGATAGACACGTGGCAGAGTGGTTGCGAGACAGGATATTGGCACCCAGTCATTATGTCTTCCTCTTGTTTTCAGCTGACCTTAGGCTTACTTGAAATTTTTTGAATGTCCTTAATAAAGACAGTGCTGCAGATCCAATCCTTCGGGCAAAAGCCGATCGGAACTCCACTCCTATCTAGATTCTACAATCTATCTGTAAAGTGAATTCGTGATCCATCCGCGACAGTTAATAAAGCTGCAACTCAGTAATGTTTCGCCTTTCCCTGGTCCTCTAAACTTGGTACAACTTAAAGGACTGTCCCCATTTCAGGGTGTGCTTGTGGGCTTGTGATATCTTGATTGATACTAACATAACCACCCTGGACTGCCTTTGGGTTGCCGCACAATCCTCCCTGTCCCGGACATCGGAACAGGTCTCATTTCCTCAGTATCTTGGGCAGCTCAGCACCAGGCAATGCCACCTCGTGAATGAGTTGTGCATTTTGATCTTGCTGACAAAACCAATGTCTTCTGTATATAATGTTTGGTCTTTGACCATGACAAGCTGTTGCAATTTGCCAATGAATGACCAAACAGCACATTCTCCTCAATGGGTCAAAGGGTATAATCGCGTTAATAGACTGAAATTACATGAAAAGAGTCTCCGCTCGCCTGCTGCCCCTGTTTGTAATCAGTTTTATGATCCCGGCCTCCGCAGGATTAGCGGTTTCCCCAACCTCATGTTCTAATCCTTCAAAATAGACGGGAAAGTAATTACTGCTATAAAAACAGACATAGGAACTACATCCCAACTACCCAGATCTTCCACTGCCTTTCAACAGTACTCACATCCAATAACAATAGCCAGACCTCCAAATGCGCAAGCAATCATGCGTCGAATGTCGTCGACGCAGAATAAAGGCACGCTCCAACATATGGTTTATAGCATTCAACTGATTGTGGATCTGCAGTGTGAACAAGTGCCAGGTCAAACAATCTGCAAGAACTGCCTGAACAAGAATTTTAGATGCAGTGGACCTGTGCCTACCGAAGCCAAGTTGAGGAAGATGAAGGAGCGAGTCGCACAAGGCTGGTCTTTTCTCTTTGGCTGAATCTGCTGCATCCTGACCACCTGCAAGGACAACGCTGTCTCACCAATGTTCACTCAACGCAGTTCAGAAGCGACGTTGCAATTGAGATACCTTCGACGCCGACCGATGTTGTAAGATGCTACATCCCATTCTTCAAATTCGTGTTCTGATTTATTATATTGTCAAGGCGTTGCAGCCACCAACAAACTACCCGGTGTTTCCCTCGGTCTATCAGCCACTGATTGGTACTTATCAGCAGCTGTCTGGGACCATGGTTTCTGCACCGGACTCTTCCGGATTGATGCCTTCGTCTAACACGATGGAATCAGAGTACGTCGCATTATAGGCCAGTTCAGCTATGGAAACCCTTAACAATTAGCTTGTTTTATCCAGAGCTGGTTCAATTTACTGGCCTGCAGGGACTCCGTCAGGCTCCACAGCGTCTCAATACGGACAGAGGTAGATGTATCGAGTGTCTGAGAACGTTGAAATTCGGCTCCAAAGATGAGCGCCTAAACGGAATCTTGTTCTTTGAAATGGCCCTGTGGTGATATTTTTGTAGTCGTTAATATCCCATCCCATCGAACTTACCGTAAATGATGACTCATGCGTCCCCAAGATGACGTGTCAGTTAATCTATACGTTCATACTAAAATCAAAGTGAAGATTGACATCGATAGCCGATAACGTACCTTATCCATGACGCAAGCTCAACTTAATAAAAGGCGTCATTAAGTACTGCCCGCACCCGCTGCCAATCCCGAGCCGGTGTCTTCGTGTTCACTTCTTTTTCATGATGTAATCGCGGAAGGACCATCTCACAATCGATCCTTGCTTGGCCCGATAATCATGCATCAACGGCTGCGGATGATTTAGCGACTCATTGATTGGAGGGCCATGTGCGTGTTCAAGGCCCCTTTAGTAACACATGAATCATCACGTCCATGACCAAACGGTAATAGCAGTAAGATGAAGATGATAACTTGACGAGCCAAACAATTATTGCCAATGCCAGAGGGCAATGAGTATCATTGCGGCGAACCGAGAAAGCCATGTCAAGCATGTCGACTTACAACATTCGCACTATAGTTGATAGCTCCTAAATTTATTGACTGGTACAGTAATAGGGTCAACTGTAGCTAGATACCGGCACTTCGAGGATACGATGTTCCCAGTATCTGATGAAGCATTTATCAGCTTAGTTATATCTTCGAGAAAAGAAGCCGTACTTCTTCCGAATAGTGTCATGGTCATTCGCTAGTGATTTCCAGAGCTAGACGGTACTTCAGCTGGATATCTTGGCTCAAACACAGAGTATAATTCACCTCAATCGCCTTTGATATTTCTTCGCCCCCAGAGGCTTCGTAGATGTCGGCGAGAAACTCGATTGCAGCAGGACAGGGCAAATCAGCCCCAGGTGACGGTCTAGGATTCTCCAGATCGAGGATCTTTTCATCTTCTCTTCCATCTGACGATTGCACAGAAACGGTATAAGGAAGAACAAATCCAGTCAACAATGAAAATGGTGTTCCGGAATGCTCCAGGACACCACGTAGATAGTTCCACGCCGAAGCATTATTCGGTGCTAGTGCAATCTTATCCTTCGTGAATGTCAGCTCTCGACGCACTACCTCTTCTCTATCTTCTTCTCCTTTTCTAACACCGCTGGAAAAGACGACGAAGAATCGGTGATGCCAAGCAGAGTTATTCCGCACGTCATCCTCCAGCATATTCTCGATGTAGCGTAATTCGCCTCCCCACAATTTGTCTTGGTTAAAATAAGCCAAAACCCATTGACGATAAGACCATGTATGGTAGTTCTTCGCATCATGTGAGAGTCCTCGTGCAATGAAAGCGAGCTCAGCAGCCGGAGTTTTAGTCAGCGCGCCACGCTGAAGGAGCAAACGTCGATGATGCCAGACTTGATAATTCTTAAGATATTTTTCCGCAAGTTCATCCATGAGCTCAAGCTCATCATCAAGGGGTGCATTGATTGCGATAAGTGTCCCGTATCGATACTGCCTGGCAGATACAAGAAACCATAGAAGTAGATTAGATTCGTCGTATGCACTCGTGTGCTCGCTCACCATGCTGAGTAGTGTGCCGGATTCATACGGATGATACTCTCCGTTAGGGTAAGCACACGTTCGCTCATCTCCTGTGCTCTGACGACTCCGCGGAAATAGTCTGTGGCATCTTTGTCTACGCATTTTGCAGGTTAGCTTGTGTGTGAAGCTACGCATTTCTGGGCTGAATACTCGCAGGTTTCCGAGTAGAATATAGGTGCAATAGGATTCTCGTCTGGTTCATGTTGGCTGATAGGTGTAATGTCCGCCCATTCTTGACGGTCTCTGTACAGTGCGGACATTGTGGTTGAAATGAGGTGCACGACAGTGATCTTGGAGATTAAAGAAGATTATTTCCGGCTGATCCACGTGATGCAGGACTTGTAGAGCTAATGACGTAATCAGATCTGAGTCGTCAATTGACAATGTTTTTCAGTCTCAATCCCAAATATGCTCCCGTGTAAGACTTGGCCCTGCACGAGCCTTCAAAGAAGAACCAGTCACCTTTACTGCTACAAATTATACACTTGCCACAGTCAATCCAGCACTATGGATCTCTAACAGTGTAAGAGTTGCACTACAAATATCTCTGTCTTCTTCATTTACTACTCTGTTGTCAATGGAAGACAACTTGGGCAGAACAACAAATATGGTATTGGAAGACAGTACTGAGGAATGCAGACAAAGTGTAGAAGCAGAAGGACACGTCTGACGACTGTTCAATTTCAGAGAAGGAGGTGTAAAGAGGTTGCTTGTCAGTCAGGACAACATTCCAACATAAATGATCTGCCAGTAATTTTGGCACAGGCTGCAACCGAAACAGGGGATTGCATACCTCCCTTGCAAGCTATTGTAAGCTGCCCTCATCCTTTCAAGATATTCCACTGATACTTTCCACCATGGCGACCAGGCGAGGGATATCCAGAAGCGTCGAATGCGGCGAAGGTGTCAAACGCGCCGCATGCACCAAGCGCTGACAACCAGCGCCCTGTCTTTACAGCTGGTTTCGATTCGAATTTCCTCACTGGCCACCCTTACTTTCCTTCATAACCAGTCCTTGACACGGACCAGCCAGTGTACGCTATGGTATTAAAATCTTTCGTTGAGTTATTGAATTGATCCTCAACTAGCCTGATTTGTCAAGATGCGATCATCCACAGGGCCAGGGTAATACTGGAAACTACGGTCTAATTCCGGATATGTGGTAGATTCTTGGCAGCAATTACATGCCATTCTAAGCCAGCGGACCGTTCACTCGTTCTTGGAACGAATGAGGATGTTTGATTGTGATTACGTGTATGAAACTGCTTGTACAGATTGTTATACTCCTACGACGAGTTGAATAACAAGAGTTTAGATACTTTGTTGATTGTAAATAAAGTCAGAACGTAAGGTGATACAAAATTGGGAAGAAAGAAAAATCGGAGACGTGCAAGTTGCAAGAATACTGGTCTTGAAAAGCGATGAATTCCAAGAAAGGAAGAAAAAAAAGTCAACAGATCGAACCTGAATCCTTCAGCATCAGTTTGTGTCACATAGATTGTTCTGCAGCGTAGAAAGGCATCGTTTCGTGACCTGGTCACCTTTCAGGAGTGCATTGAACGTCTGGTCACGTAATGGTTCTGGGAGACAAGTTCGCAGCGCCTCGCGAGCCCTAAACATTCGTGTCAGCACCAGAACGAGATAAGAAGAACGTGTGAGCTCACTTCGGATTATCACTAAGACGCAAGTAACAGCGCACGACGTGTTTGAGTAAACGGACAGCCTGGGTCTCAACAAGTTGTGAAACCATGTTACTCAACACGGTAACGACGGCGAAGAAACGTTCATAAGTGTGGCAGATGTACGTTAATCCAGTTTCGTCGAGAAGGATTTTCTGTACAATGAAAATCGCGACGGTCTTGGAAAGCTCGCTGCCTGTTTCCATAATACGAAGGCAAAGCGGGATAATTTCCGTAGAAAGTAGGAAGTGGATAACGGCAGCGTTGTCATTCTGCTTAACTAGCGCGCCAATGACCCCGAGTGATGTAAGTCGTAGATATTCAAATGGTCGCGTTTTGGAGGTCGTGTTCAGGAACGGATAGAGGAAGAGCGGAATGTGAGCGCTCAGGAAAAGCTGACGTGTCTCCGAGTGCGAGGCAACACATTGGAGGAGGGCGAGCGCATTGCATACCCGGTTCGAGACGTGCGCAGTAAGGTTTGGTGGACAAAGAAGCGGATAAACAGAGACGATCTCTTGCAACAAAGCGGACATGATGCCTACGAAGCAGTGTTAGTACATATTATCCGGGCGGCAATAACTCAGAAAACGATAAAAGGGCGATAACTCGATGTAGATTAATATCAACTTAACATCAACACGCCCCTCCGTTCAATCAAAGGAAACCAGTGCGTGTTGATCGTTCATATCAAGTGACATGCAAACCTAAAGAACAAAAGAGGCCATGTCGACAAACGCAGAAACTCACCAAATGAATGCCAAAGGACAAGCGCAAGATCATCATACTGTTCTCTTTTCTTGCTTAATTCGAGGAGCGCCGCCTCTCGGTTATTAACATCCATGAGGTCGATCACCAATGCATAGATCTTGCTTTCCTCTTGCTGCTGGTGCTGCAGGAACGTCTGCTGTTGTCCCTGCTGCTGGGGTAGACCCGTACCTGGTATTCCGAACATGCTAAGGCTAGCTGGACCGGCCTGGTGGGGCGTCGTTGGTGCCAGAGCAGGCGCGGACATGGGTGGAGGCGTGTCCCCAAAGGGCTGCGACGTCATCCCTCGTGCACCCGAGAAGGCATTGTAGGGTGTGTGTTGCATATACGACATTGGTCGTGGCGAGTGCAGGCTTGACATTACCACTTGGCAGCGTTCTAATTATCGTCGTCGTCGTTGTAAGCAGCGAGCAAAATGCACGGAAAATAGAAATTTGGAATTGACCGATTCCCCAGAGCGGAATGCCTTTGTCATAGTCACGTGACTTCATTGCACCAAATACTAGTAGTTTTGAATTCAGCTGTTTACCTAGGTGTACTGGAACTCGAATGGTTTTATTTCTTGCTGTTGCAAGTTTCCGGTACTAATAGTCACTATATGAATAACTAAATGACATCAGGATACTTTCAATGCTTTTCTCCTCCAAACTGGTTGATGGGTGACATGTCACACTCCTTATATGGCAAGTCGTTCACAGTTCAGACTCCGCTGACGCGATATAAAGGCGGTGAAGGGTGTCGCTTTGCTCTTCCTCTCGACCATCATCTACGACCCGCGCTGCACCAGTCTCATTTCAAGACCTCTACCGCTTTCCACTCAAAGTAACTTTTCTTTGCTTAATTAAGACATGGACAAGGCTCTCGACGATGTTGGTATTGTCTCTGCTCTCGTGTTGGACACGCGCCGCTCAACTTGGCGGTGGTGGTGATTGCTTTTGTCATTGACTCACGATCAACCTTTCTTTCGCAATTTGTCTTCTCAAGATTGTCCAGGCGTCGCGTACTGGCAGAAGGGGTGCCGGCCGTCGTCCGAACCGCAGCGCCCGCGCGAAAATCCTTGGAAACACAAGTACGACCGCAGCAAAGACAGCCGCGAAAAAGGCTGCTGCGGGCACACAGGTCGCCGGAAAAGTCGTGACTCCTCAGCAGACTGCAGAGAAGATCATGGTTTCTGGGCTTCCGGCTGATGTCAACGAGCAACAAATTAAGGTTAGTTGGTTTTCACGCAGAAAATCTGGGCGACGTGCTGACTCATCTACTCCTTTGCAGGAACTTTTCACGACGACTGTTGGTCCTCTTAAAGATGTTCAGCTACACTTTAACCCGCAAGGCAAATGGAACGGTACTGCGACTGTCCTATTTTCCCGCAAGGGTGACGGTACCAAGGCATACGAGCAATACAACAATCGACTTATCGACGGCAGTTAGTGTCTTTTCCCTCACATCCTACTTCGTATGGTTTTCGACAGACAATATTGTTTCGTTCGTCGCGGTATGATCGATCGTAACCTGACCTGGACGAGTTGGCGCTGTCCTTGAGATGCATGTTCGATTTACCCTTTTCAGAAGGCAGGCACAAAATCCCTACTGTGGAGGATATGACTGCTCGGTGGCTGGCACACGAAGCCAACGAGCATGTCGAGTCGTCTGCGAGATCCCTTCGCCTGGCCAGCGTTGGTTGATCCGCATAATGACGACTCTCCTTCGTCCGCTCAGCCTTGACTTTGCTTCAGGTCGGCTGATTCAGCGTGATCCAGTAGCTGGTTGGTTGACGCCAGTAATTCTGCTCTCCAGAGGAACCAACGTCTATCCGTTACTCCTTGGATTGAAGCCGTGAATTTTCTACTGCGTCTTCCGGTAATTCCAGGCAGCACCATTGAATGTTTGATGGTTAAGCAATTGGTCTATGATCTGTCGGCGTTGAGTCTTTATCTTGATGCTGATGACCTGTTACGACCGTTTTCTTGTCACCGCATCAATGCGTCGAGCGGATTAGTGTCTAGAGTTGCAGGAGCCTGGTTAACACTCCTGTGCAGTAAGAAGCTGTTGACGGATCTGGTAACGGATGAACGATGCGCGATTGTTCCTTTTTCCATCTGCGTTGCCCGGTCATCATGATGACTCAACTGATCAATGCTCTCCCTTCTTTTCGCATGCCACATCACTCTACGTTCCCCTCCGACCATCGAACCGCATCGCCCATCTCCGTGACGCTCTTTCTGCCATCAGAGAGGCCTATGAAGATTGAATTGATCTTTGATCCGTCAAAGGTCCCTCCACCACCGCTCGCCTCGCGTGTGGCACCTGCAGCAAAGTCTGCTGCTGGTGGTGCTCGCATGGAGGGCGTTCAGAGGTTTGTCCCTGTGTTGGTCGCGTAATGGATGGTAATTGACGGGTTTGCGCTCTGCTCGATTAATTTTCAAGGACTGGAGGACGTCCGAGACGCGCGCGGGGAACAAGGACAAAAAATCAGCGACCGCAAAAGACTGTCGAAGATCTCGATGCCGAGATGGAGGTTTGTGCCGTTTCTTGCTGTCAGCATCGCAAATGCTAATGCAGTAAATCATGCAGGACTACACTGCAGCTTCGAATGCGCCTGCGGCAGTTCCTGCTCCTGCAGCTTAGGAAGGCTGATAATATGCATAGTTTTGTCTGACAATGTTTCCGGTTTCTGTTTCTGTTTTCTCGCGACAATTGTTTCTTGTCTGTCTCTTGCATTAGTATAATGTTTATTATGATTTCTCTGCGCCCGTCTGCGAAAAATATATCGATTCAATTTTGACATGTGCAACCGTGAGAATAGTGCCGGGTCACGGGACCCGATGAGTGATCGACGCATTCTTTAACCCAGTCGCTGATGCTATTGCTCCTGTGTTCTCAACTTCAAACATGTCGCGTGGGGGAAGAGGTGGTGGACGAGGCGGTAGAGGAGGTTTCAGTGCAAGCAGCCTCCCACCAATGGGCCTTACCTTCACAGACATCCAGAGTATGTCGCGCGAGCAGGGCGAGCTCTATCCAGTGAGTCTGCACATGTCACCAATTTTATACCAGATTCTGTCAGAATCTGATACACGACGGAGACAAGTAGACCATGGATCCGTTTCCTGAGATGACTGCATCGACAGATGAAGAAAAGAAGATCTGTGCATTGCAAAATGGGTTCGTTGACAGGTTGAGGTCGTCGAAATACTATCTGGTGGAGGTGAAGAAGTCTGATGGTAAGTTTTACTTTTGACCTTGATTCTTGCTTCTTCTGCGTTTATTTTATTTTTTATTGGTGTACCTTGCGTTAGGTTTCGATGCTAATGTTCCTGTACTACAGATCTTCCCCGATATTCAGACAAATATCGTCCTTCTCCCGCTGCTCAGCCAACGCTGAAGCGGAAAGACCTCCATCAGCCGTTCTTCCCTCAAGAGATATTCGAGGATTATTTTAATCCGAAGAGGAGAAAGAAACGTACTTTCTTCAAAAAAAGTTCATTCATATGGATGGATCAGCACTGAAAATGGAGATGATTTACAGAAAAGAAAACTACTGGAAAAAAAGTCAAGTTGGACGAAATCGCTGCTGAGGGTGATGACGAGCAGGTATATTACTTAATCATCGTCCTCTTCAAACTAAATATCGCCACACTAATCGTCCTTTTTCTTAATCCTTTTTCTTATTTTGCTCTTTTTCTAAACGTTTTTTAAATAGGAAACCACGTCAGACAAACACTCCTCAGCAGGATCAGAGGCCGGAGAAAATGGCTCGGACTACGACGTCGACGAGGAGTACGATGATAATGATTATGTGGAGAATTACTTTGATAATGGGGAAGGTGATGATTTAGATGATTTGGGTGATGGGGGTGCAGGTGGAGATGGTGGTGGTAAGTTCCATTCTCTCCTTGTCTTGCCTGTTCGCACTTTGATTGATCTTGCTAACTTTGTGTAGGTGGTGACTATGACTGAACATAGTGAAAAACGTATTTTCGATCGGGCGTCCTCGACAATGTACAGTATAGCTGTTTTACTTAACGCGGGACACTGTGTACAACTCGAACCTGTGAAAAAAAGGGGAGGTGAGTCAAGTGAGTTCGTACACATCATAGTCGTTTTGTGTGAATCCTTCTATCCTATTCATACATTCAAGATAATTGGTTTGCAGGCAAGTGGTTAGGTTATCAAACACATGGGCGAAAACTTCGTATAAACTTATCCTTTTGCAGCAAATACCTTGGTCTCAACTTGGAACAAAAGTTAGACATGCTGCACATTAATTATCATTTCATCAAAGGACCCCGACAGAACCAATCACATAACAGACAAATCCCTGTATCAAAGTTACCCTTTATAAGTGAACATAACATCTCTCCTTCGACAAGCAGATTATCGACAGTTCAGTAGCTTCATTCTTGAAGCGTTTAGAGGCCGAGGTTGATCGGAGTGCAACCAATCGCGATCAAGCCATCTAGAAAAAGAGTGGTGTTAGAAAACAAAGTTGCGTAGTAGGAAAGACAGAGGAAAAATTAATCATTTACTGAAGTTGTTGTTCTGGCAGCAGACAGGCTGAGCAGAGCTGAAATAACGCACAACGTCAGTACAAACGTACTATTTGGTAGCCTTTTTTTTTAAAATTCTACATACCAGCTATTGCCTCCAGCACCAATGACGCTGATTGGAGTGCAAGTAAGACCAACAAGGACGTCAAGGTCCGAAAGAACAATGCCCAAGAGGCCGAGGAGCGTCGTAACAGCGGGGTCACTAGCGGATTGAACAGAGTTGCAGCACTGAATATGACCGGTGTAGCATTGGCTCGCAGGCTGGGTTGTCGTCGGAACTGCAGTCACAGTGACAGTCTTCGTGGGGTTAGCCCAGGGCGTGGCGACCGCAAGGAGCGGGAGAGCGAAGAGAGAAGTGTACTTTGCGAAGCGCATTGTTGCAAGTCGAAGGAGAATCTTGAGAAGCGATGGGTAGTCGAGAAATCGGTAGTTGAGTGACTGAGAAGAACTATCGGAAGACAGCCCAGCTTTTATAGAGCAGAGCACGGTCCGTGAGCGATGAGCAAGGCACAACATTACACTGTGCCTTGGCCCTCAAGCATGCTTTATGTTACTTTTTTGAGATTCCGACATTGGAACCTTGCAACAGCGGAAGAGATTGACAGTCATAGACGTCATTTATCAATGACTTTGTTTGCTCCCGTTGACAAGAGACAACATCTTATCATTAAGACTAATGCTTTTGAAGATATACGAGCATGTCACCGCGCTATTGGTGAGAATCCTAATTCACTCACTACATATCGGACCAGTTGTCCAGACATTCAAGCCGAATAACGTCGGAACCATCACCGAACAAGCGGTCCAGGTACGCAAATGTCGAGGTGATCGAGAAACGTGCCACAGCAATATGTTGATACGCGCGCTTATGCTTATCAGAGCACTCAGCCACTGATTAATCCTATTGAGTATGAGGGACAGTTTTGATCCTTCTGAATAATCTATGCGGGAAAACGTACCGATGGTACTCACACTATTGTTACTGTAAAATGTAGTGGCTCTTGCCTCAATGAAATTTGCTTTACATCGGCCCGGTCCACAGGAACAGAACAGGGCAAAAGAGCAAGGACCCGAAGGTGCGACAAATTGACGTTTAAGTTAACGCCACCGAGTAACATGGCAAGAGTATATAATTAACCATGATGGACAAGCTGCTTGCAAAACGTTCCATCTCCGCAACTCTGCAAATCCACGTTTCAAGGGATGAGAACCTGTCCGGTATGCAATGGAAGCCTGGTGCACATACCAAAGATGACAGACGCACGATGCCTAGTTGGAGTAAACGCGCCACTAGCACATGTACCAGGGACAAGAACTGAGCATAAAGCCGATACATAGGTGTCAATGAGGTCAAGCCCAAAGAGCGGAAGCAAACCGATCGGTCGAAAAAGATCGTGCCTCAAATGGGCTGAAAGACAAAGGCATTTCCCGATTGCAGAAGTGCAAATGTGTGCATTGACTCCTATGACGAGAGGTGCCAAAACGCAGGACTGGGCTCCGCATGCAACACGTGTAGATGCTCCGTTGAAGAGTCATAGGTTAACGCCACATTCAAGCACTCATCTCCTTGACAAGTTCGTTGGGAACTTGTCATCAACGGGCGCGTATGCCGGATGAAAAGAGCAGCATTTGAAAAAGAGCGGGGACCTTATCCAGGGGGGGGAGACTATACAGACAAACTTATGAGCTAAGCAACACCTCGGATCTCAACACAGCATCGCTTGGAAGAAAGCAGGAACCACTCAGAACTTAGCTCAACCATAGAAAATGCTATTGATTCTCGAAGGCGGAAATACAATGCTAGTATTACCTTTCCTTTTTCCGTGCATACACATTGTGTGCGCATATAAACAGTGGGATGCATGCCTCGCGGAGTTCCTGGGAGGCCTGACCTATGAGTGAACTGACAAGTTCTTCTGGTACTCCTGTGCTAAGTAGCAGGGGACGTGCGGATTCCATGAATGACTGCCAGAAAGAAACGTTAGTGATCATAAGTGGTACCCTCGGGAGCCACCCACAATAAAACATTCGCCAGCTTCCTTACCGACCCAGCGAAGATTCTCAAGATCATCTGACGACATAGTACTGAAAGCAGGATGCCCCCAGGCATCCTCGTCGCGCAGCCAATCGCCACAAGGGATCCAGATATCGCGGTACACAACGTCTTCAAATGAGCAATGTTCGGATATCCAGAGGTGCAACAACGAGGCTGCATCCACATGAGAACCTCGTTTGAACATGGCCTGACGAATTAGAGCAATGATGCGTGCCGAGAAAGGCACTGGCTCAGAAGACACAGTTGCCATTGGGGTACGGGGAACAGAACTTGAACGAGCCGTGCCGCAGCGATTCCAGCCTTCGGGTGGAATTATAGGTCCCCATATTTCGACCATGGTAGGGACAAGAACTCGCTTCTCAATATCGAATACCCGCAAATCGAACTCCAAGAACTCTGCAAGCCCGCAGGACCGAAGTGCAAGAACCGTATCATCGATTAGGCGATAATAGTCTTTGATCCCAGGGGATAGACATCGCACGTGTACAACGTCAAACTGCCCTGCAAAGTGCTCTAGCCCAAGGCTAATGTCATCGATTTCAAATCGAAAGTTTGGTGGAATTCGAGCGCTTGAGTAATTACCAGAGATGCATTTAGATAGGAATATAAAAGCCCGGAACGAAAGGAAATTTTACCTCGCCGGAAGAGGAACAAGATCGACGGCTGTGCAACAGACATGAGGAAATGCAGATGCGACTTCAAGTAACCTGTACTAACAATAAATTAACATTATAGTTGCAGCCGTTAAATTCGATATCGAAAATATTTCGAAACGGACCAAGTACCCGAACCACAGCCGAGATCAAGACATGTTTTCGGATTGGAAGAATCGTGATCGTCTGCAAGTACCTCGTAAAATGGCGGCACGTATTCCCCAGCAAGCACTTTGAGAAGACGATGCCATTTGTCTTTGGGATCCTTAGCTAATCAGATTACCTAATACAACCAGAAAGGCTCACCTTGCCGTTGATGTTCTTCCTCGTCTGACGGGAACTTGTAAACATTAGAATGGGAATTTACTCTTCGACCATGTTCACAGTAAACAGCTCGTTCTTTAATCGAATCACTTAAACTAAAAAGCGAGGGCTGTGGGGAAAGCGAAGATAGTTCGGGGTCGAATGCGACGACAATTCCCGGGTCAGGGCTTTCGGGCACTGGAGGTACACTAATCCTTTCCGACTCCGAGTCGTTATCCGCTTCCATTGAACGACGAGGTACGGCTGTAGAGGATTCGGAGAGGGTCAAGCGAGCTAAGCAATACTCGACAGCACATTCATCCCCCCGGACAGCATTGTAGGTTCTGCTGGATGAGAGAGGACTTAGAGAAGACATAGAGGGGCAAGGGGACCGAACAGCCACGCATCAGTGCTTCTATAGAAGTAGGCCAAGGAGAGGTTGAGACTATTGGATTTAGACACATGAGGTTTTTGAGAGCTAAGCTACTCTAAGGTCATTCCGATTGTCCGAGTCGGTCCCATGTTTAGCATATCTAGTCACGTGAATAACCTTTGTAGGCGCACATATGTCCCATTATAGGGACTGGCGCGGATAGAGCTTACCGCGGTTTCGCACTGCGGATGATAATTTCCCACGGATACCATACCGCGGATGAAATTCTCACGGTTACCGCGGTTACTGCAGATCCGCAAAATACTACGAAGCTAACTTTGAAAGGTAGCAAGTTCTCACAATGACTTGTATGTAATTAGTGTAAAGCATCACATTTGTGACTAAAGTCACACCATCAAACACATTTAGTAACCCTTTTCTTTTTAACCGTGCTAAGCGTCCAACCGCGGTTTCTGCGGTTACCGTGGGAATTTCATCCGCGGATGGCTCTATCCGCGGTACGGATTGCGGATTTCTGCGGCGGTAACCGTGCCAGTCCCTATCCCATTACTATTAATATTATATTCCAATACATCCTTATTTTTATTCTTCATAATTCTGTATTCTAAATTAGCTCCAATAGTCCCAATAATAATGATGTCATAATATGATAAAGGATAGTGTGACAGTGATACTGATAGTGTAAATGAACGTCGTTGTACATGCTTCTCTAGCTTCTAAAATGTGGTGGTAATAGTAGTAGATGTAGCATCGCCCTGATAGATCCATTCTCACAGTTTGTAGTAGTATAATTTTGTTAGTTTTGTTTTGGGGTTTCGATGCTTTCTATTGTTTGTTGTGGTTTGATCTTCCCCCTCTCTCCGTCCCTAAGTCCGAGTCAAAATCCATCTCCTATTGCTAGTCTACATCTAAAACTACACTGCCCTCTTGTTCTCTTGCTCTCCTGTACTCCCGCCCTTTGCTCTCCTGTTGTCCTAAACTCTCCTTCTTCCCCTTCTATTCAACACATCATGATTCGTAACGACGTAAAAAGGAAAACGTTGAATGAAAGGTGCAAAGTGCTTCCTACGCGGCGACAGCAGCCTGCGGCGCCCTCCACGAGCTAACCCCAGTTATATTTTCCAGGTTCCGGTGTCTGTGCGGGAGACGTGCGCGATTACGGGTGCGCTTGGGCCAGGCAGAATTTGCGTCTGCAGTCGTCTCCTCGTTTGCACCAGCATTTTGCGCATCCGAATCGGGAGCGCCAACGACGCTGGAAATGGAAGGAGCAGCAACAGCGTCAGCAGGAGCAACATTATTACTAATAACATTGCTTGAAGTACTGTTGCCGCTGCTGCTTCCCCGATTCAGGTTTGGGCGGCGTCGGTCACGTCTTCGGTTTGGTTGTTGTGCATTTGACGCAACAGTGTTCTTTGATGGGTAGTAGTATCTCGGAGAAGTTTGCGCGAGAGGGTGTGCATGTCCTCCCTGGGCACCAGCAACACGTGTTTGCACCGACATCGGCGAGTGCACCATCGTATTGTTGAGGGCGAAGTTTGCGTTGCCGTCGATACTGGAGCTACGAGACATCGCAAGAGCTCGTGCGACTCCGTCCCCACGTGCACGTAGGATACGCGGATGCGCCGTGATGAGCGTGGGTGTCACTATGGGTCGAAGGGAAGTGATGACGAGCGACGATGGTGCGAGCGCGAGGAGTTCGTCCCGTGTGTACACACCCGCATGGGGCTTCGGAGGAGAATCAGAATTAGTATTCTGATATTGTGTGCTATCTGGAAAGATTGACAGTTCGGCGTTAGGGTTGAAGTCGAAGACTGAGACGGAAAGGCGAGGCGGGGAACGTACGATACGAAGCGGGGAGCGCAAACTTCGCAGAGCGCGGTGGAGACGATGCGCTACCGAGTGCCGAGGAGCTTGAGTTCGAGCCGCGACGACGATGGACGGGAATGTAGACACCCGCAGGAGTCCATGTACTATTCTCCGAGACGCAAGAAGCGTCGGAGTAAGATGAGCATGGAGATTCGTTGTCATTCGCAGTCACATTCGTCTGGGCGTTCGACGTAGTGCGGCGGGATGGGATCGCAATAGGCGCAACACCAGCATCATCACTAGCACTAACAGGTTCAGAAGACGCCAAAGACATGTCAAGCTCTTAAACTCTTAAGCTCTCGAAGCAGGGTCGCGCGCTTGAGAGAGACGTAGTCGAAGTAGGATAGAGACCGAACAGCGGAGAGGGGTGCGAAGGACGAGAGGGAAGCTGGAAACCTAGAGATAAACAGAAACGAACCGCCCTAGAGGAAAGGGAGGTGAAACGTGCAGTATGAGCTTTTAATAAACAACTTTGCGGCCTTGCATATATATGCTCGGTGATCCCTCCACATATTTCTCTTTTGGTGGGTAGGAGATAAGACTGCGGAATGTAGCCGGCCAGTGGTCGCAAGAGAATTGCGTGGCATGATGTAGTGCTTTGCACCGCGCTGCGAGTTTTCCGCTGCGGGGCCGGCCAAACGTCCGTAGAGACGAAACGTACCATGCATCCAGTTATTCAGCCAGCCCGGCCCTTCCTTGACGAGGGTCGGCACATTGTCCGTGCGTGCTTGCGGAGCCGAGAGAAGGCGCGTCGCGTCGCGGACACTCGAGAAGCTTCTGGTTTGTTGTCAGAGATGTGATGACTCACCGGGATGACGTGGCATCTGCACAATTCAACACGTGACGATATGCAAAATTAATCCGCCATATCCTTACGTCATCAATGTCTTGGCTGCAGTAACATTGATATCTTGCGAAGAAATGCCGACTGTTCCGATGTTGCAATGAGAACCAACTGATCAGTCTATGGCAGAGGGCCAGCACAGAGAGAGCAAGTTGATGGGAGCGGTGTGTAAGAACGATACTTGAATTTGGATGAATGATGGTCGTAAGAGCGAAAAATGTCATTACAAGAGATTGTACGCAGAACTACTAGAGCAATAAACATGTGGGTGAGATTTTTGAGCTGAAACCAAAGAAGTTATATCGACGATGGCGTTGAGTTGATAGGCGAGAGACTCAAGCCGAGTACCTAAGCCTCGACGAACTTCTTGATGCTCTCAAGCCAGCGAACGTATTCCTAAAAACAAAACCATGAATAGCAATTTCTAACAAGTTCAAAGAAAAGTATACCGTCTGCTCCTTGTATTCAGCATAATCTGGGATGAACAACGCCATCGACTCATTGATACCCCTCTCATCCAAGTATTTCTCAAACTCGTCTTGTACACCAGCGTCAAGGTTCTCGAAAGTCGGTCCAAGGTACAGTCCACGGCGCTTCCAATCTGCCTCCGCGGTCAGTGCCGTACCAATCTCCTTATCCTGGTAGAAGCTAGCATTCTCAATCAAGAATGCTCCGTCCTGACATAAGGAGTCAACACTCAAAGCGCCGGGCGCATCGCGCTTCGTGATGCTGATCGCAACGCGGATAGGTGTGCTGGTAACAGTATGTGGCTGTGGTTCAGGCGGTTCTTCGCCTTCCTCTAACGCATCCGGATCAAATTCGTGTTCGGGATTTGCGTCGAGGTCGGCGATACTGAACATGATACGAATGTGTTCGTTCCCGAAGGTCCTCTCAAAAGTCACCTCATCTGCACTCGGAGTGTCATTGATTGTCCATACACCCTGGGACTTGAATTCTGTGATGAAGTCCGGAGTACCGGATTGTGCGGTCGCGGCCTCGCGTTCGTATTGCAGCTCTTCGGAGAGCTTTTGGACCAGTGCCATGTCCGCTGTTTTTCACGTTTATTAGATTTTCTTTTTCTCTCGTTCTATAGTAACTGCAATAAACGTACTTGTGCCCTCGCCACGCACATTCCTCGATACAGAAAACTGACGAGCACCAGACGCAGCCCAGACATTCGCGTCTACAGGACGAGCACGAGCAACGGAAGAAAACGCCGAGCGTGCTAAGACAGACGAAGATGAGGACCGCTGAGCCAACGCACGGCTCGTCGTGGTAAGTAGACCTCGTGCAGAGCGAAGGGCAGACATAATGTATCTTTTTTTCAAATTGACTTTGATGAGAGGAAAATGAGAAGGAAGAGGAATAGAAACGAAAGACGTGACAGAAAGGAAAAGCACGGATCGTAACTTTTCTTCTTGAACACCAGATTTGGCAAGCGATCTCCCACGCCCACTTACAAGGTTTAAAAAAGTACATGTCATAAAAAATGATACCGTACACATTGCACTACATACCGCACACAAGTCGTTGGCAGTATTAGCGATCTCATATCCTCGCCTTTCCGTACACTTTTCGCCTTTGTTTTCATTCCTTCGCCTATCTAATCGGATTTTGACTCACCATTCATTTCAATACTCGTAGTAGTTTATTAGAAGCTACCGACAAATGTTTGCTTTGTTGATTTGCACTGTAGTTCCTAATACTCTGAACGCACAACTTGAATTATTAATTTAACAGGTCAGGAATTATTGAACTATCCAACTGGACTTCGTTTGAGCGGCGGCTAAAAGCAGGAACATAGCTCACTAGCTTCCATATCAATAACATTGCTGTCATCATACTATATTAATTTGACGGGACAGAAACGCAGGCTAGACATCCGTTGCAGTACAAGCCATTGGTGTCTACTAAACAGCACTACAGTCTTATCTACCACTAACTAGTTCCATTAACCTATTTTTGCTCTAAAGTGTTTGTACAAGTTAACAATTGAGTTCTACTAATAAAAAAGAGGTGAAAATAGTATTCTTACCTGTTGCAGCCTCAATTTTCTGACAAATTTTAGTCCAGGATCCAAGAGCAGTCTGTTCTGACGCTGTTAATAGAGTTTCGTCCTTACCATCTGCAGTGTCCTTGACTTTTGACAGTATTTATTTGTTAGCCATTAATAGATTTACAGGATGAGAGGCTTGCTTACCTGCAACTGTGGATCCCTGTTAAACAAGTTTGATATTCGAATCATTGCTTCTTCCCAAGGCTTTCTTATCTGGGGTGTGTTGTGCGTTAAAGTTATCTATAACTTATACAGTACAATCCGAAGGATACATACACTCCTTAAGTGCATCTGTTGCTGCTTGCTTCGGATCTGTGGCAAGGGCTCCTCTTCTGTCGCTCATTCTTTGTGTTTCTTATTGCCTTCTAGTTATTGCTAAATGCTATGTGAGAATAACTGCTGTAACTTAGAGCTGTCTTCAAATGATGAGGAAAACCTTGCTCAAGACCTGCCTCTTTTTATATTGAAGGACTGTTCCTATAGCTACTGGTTGTGTAACACAAAGTACACTATAGTCATATCTAAATTTACACATACAGAATCATGATAGTCTATTGATCTAGACATCACGACTTCTCAAGCTATATTAGATTCCTGTTGCTACACTAATAGTAACTGTTTCACACTATTAGTATTAGCTTTGTGGTTTTTCTGAGTCCTACCAGAATGACACCTTTCCATATTCTATAAAGCCTCAGTCATTTTTATTGCAAACAGGAGCTAATTCTGTTTGATGAAACATTTAGTTGCTTCTACTACACAAATGGGGAATTACTATAATGTCAGTTATCTCTACTTTATTATCAAGTGTTTCATACCTTTCTTACAAAGAATTGTACTTACACCTGTTTTAGCACAATCACAGTTAGTACAAGTAGTAGTATACTATTTAGAAATGGTCTAGACTAAGGTACAGTATTAGATTCAAGGGAGTAATATTTTTAGACAAGTTTGCAATTTTGATACAAACAGTATTCCCAGGTTTAGAGCCCTGTAGAATTGATTTTCTCTTGATAGGTTTTTAGTGAATAATAAATTACACTATATTAGACATGTTCTTTGTATTTATCATGACTCATTACTATTGTATTAGACTGCTCATACATACATATATAAATATGCTATTCTGACAATCAAATAAAAAGTTAATACAGAACTCAGAAGTGTTACTTTAGACTAGTCTTAAACTTTGCAATTTGTAATAACATAGTTTTACTTTTATTTAAAGTATATAATATATATATTAGGATTGTTTTAACTGCCTTACTTCTTAGTCTCAACTAGAATAATCCTAGCTTGTTTAGTCTGAGTAGTAACCTGTTTAGAAATAAAGGTAAGAAGAATACTCTAGTAGTAATTAATAGTTTCCTAAATACACTATATTGTATTTATAATAAAAATAGTAAAATTTCAGAGTACTTTTGTTCTAATACTAGTAATCAAAGACTAATGTGTACTAAACAGTACTATAGTCTAATCTAATACAGTCTAGTCTGTTATTTATATTAGTAGCCTTGTTTTGACTTTATAATTATAAATCAATATTTAAACAAGTTTAATATTTAATTGTATTATTAAGAAGAAAGTAGGAAAGAAACATTCTTACTTATTACAGCTTTAATCTGTGTATAAATTACAGACTAGGTATTAGAAGGATTTATATTTAACACTAAGAATAGTACTCTATTATTTTTACCTTAGTATTTTTAACTTTGAGTAATTTTTATTAGTAACTAGAGGAAATAGTAAAAATAAGTATAGTCTATTTATTTATTACTGTAAAAAGCTATTGTGAGTTCTCACTCAAGGCAGGCTTCTAAACAGAAGATTTACTAATATAAAAATCTATACTTGTATTACTTTGTATTCTTAAAATTTCCTTATCTAAAGTATATTATATGTTACAAACTATTAGTAGTTAATACAAACAAATAACATATATATATTGAGTGTATACCTTGTATCTTACTTTCATACTTGAGTGTAAGTATTATGTCTCTTATGTTTTAAATTTTTTTGATAAAATTGTTTTACAAGTAATAAAGATTGTAACTAAGAAAAGTCCTAAAAGTTCACAATTATCTTAGAATAATAACAAGTCTCTGTCTAGAAATATACAGTCATTTTATACTGAATAACTCCTTTCTTATAATATTGTAATATAGTAGAAAAGACTATACAACTAGTCTTAATATTATAACATTTTAAGTTATATAATATTGTATATTACTATACTACTAGTAGAGAAGACTGTCTGTATTGACTTTTGTTAGAATGTGTATTCTTAGGTTATCACACAAGTAATAAGAGTATAGACCCTGATAATAATGTGTATTTAGTTAATAAGTTGTTTGTTTTATATTACTTATCTGTTTGTATGTTTTAAATATTTAAAGTATTATTATCTAGTATCTGATACTTATTGTATATCTGATACATGTCTTGTATTGTGTATTTAATACATGTCTTATAGTTCTGTGTCTGTTCTGTTTGTATGTATATTATTATTTTACTAATACTGTATTATCTGTAATTGTATTATTAATTATAATATATTGTTAACATTTATTTTGGATAAATGTATCATATGTCTCAAAGTATACAAACATCTCACAAATATACACTATTGTAGAGACATGTCTTCTGAAACATACATCTGAGACATACAATATTAGATAGTATATAATACATTAATCTACAGACAATAAAGCTTATTAGAACATACACACAGTTGGCTTGTATTGACACTTACACACTATGAGCAGAGTCTACTGAACCCCTACTAGTGTGACTTACTCTTAGTATTATTACAACCTCAAAACACTAACAGGTTATAAGCCTTACACTCTCTACTCATATCTACATTGTTACTATACTTTTATCTTACCCTCTACAAATGCAACACTTTAAAATCATTGTCTCAGTAATTATGATTTCCCCCTCAGTGGTTATATGTATGATTATATACACTATAATCATTATCTCAAACACTTTAGTGTACTATACACTATAGTATAGATGATTTGATACACTTGATTGTGTTATACTCAATAAGTATTATCAAACTACTCTATTTAATACTGAATCCATTTGATTCTACACATACAATCTATTCTACACATCTACAAACCTTTAGTGCTCCCATCTGAGTATACTAAATGTGAATTGTCTTGTCCTAAAGACTACAATCACTTTATACAATGAGACATACTACAATACTTGTAATCAGAACATACTATCTATGAAGACCTAGACACACCTGTCTGAGCATCCTAAACATGTATTGATTTATTAAAATAACCTCAGACAGACTAGTTGCTTTAAATGTAATGAGTACCCAGTAATACTACATTCAAATGCTGAACTACTTTATCTTACACTACAGAGATGTGTTATAATAATAATATCTCACATTACAGACAAACATTTAATATTATATTAATAATACAAATGTTTAATACTATAAATGAAAGAATAATACTAGCAAAGCATAATAATAATATAAAGAAATACTATTGTAAAAGTACAATCAATCTAATAATGATTAGACAAACAAATAATATGAAAACAAGAGTATAAATGCTACTAAAGCATAATAACTCAAATATAAAAACAATTTCTACTATTACAAACAAACAGTCACAATAAATAACATATATTGTATAGATATACAAACATATACAATGAAATAATAAAATATATTGTATAGATATACAAATATACACATGTATAAAATAATAATAATACATTCAAATGTATAAAACTATTATTTATTACTGCCTTTTTCATAAGTATTGTCACACTTGATGATTCATTATTTTTTGTCACAAAAGTAAAC